ATCTATTTAAAAGAGATAGTATTTAGATCTAATAGATCTAAATTGATTTTAATTATCTTAAATAGATCTATTTAGATTTAGATGTAAATAGATCTATTTAAAAGAGATAGTATTTAAAAGAGTAATTAGGTTCTTAAATATTTTTTATGTAATAATTTATGTATTAATTTGAACTTTTTTTTATATATATAACAAAAGAGGTTAAAACCAGTAGGGCAATCCACGAGGAAGTTCATTCATAATTACTGAGAATTGTGTATAAATAGCAGGGGAAAAGTTTTTACTATATGCTCTCCTTAGTGTTATATTGATTCTACGCCTCCTAATGTTATGAGTTATAATTTTTTTCATATATGCAAAATGTTTTCGATGCAAAAATTAAGTTTGATGTTATAATGAACTGTTTACAGGTAATACGAAATGCTACATAATTTGTTACACAATTCTCTGAGACAGAGTGACCTCGATCGAGAAAATAGTAGACAGCTCGCTGTATCTCTTCTCACATATCACTATTTCATTAATTTATTGCGATAAGTGATAGATTAAATTTTTCATGAAATTTCCGATAAAATGCCGTCTGCAATTGATGCAATTTTGCAGTGGATTTAAAAAGATTTGGGGCATGTTATTTAACACGAGAACTATCAAATCAGTTAAAATTACTAATTGAAACTAAAAAGATGATGTGATATATACTTATTTATTTATTTTCGTTATATCACGTTAATATCAATTAGTTACAATATAAAGCTGATATAAAAATAATACAAAGATAATACAGAGATAACTTATTATAAATATTATTATATAAACAATCTGATATTAGATAGCTTTTGTTCAAATGATAAAATGATAAAATTGAAGAAAAGCGAGATTTTCACGAATGATGTCTTAACAGAAAGTAAAAGTGTGCACGTGTGAGGAATGACGCGGAGCGAAAGCGAATGTACATACACGAATCTTTGTTCGAAAAGAAACGCGTAGGCGCACCTATAGCGGTAGTTGAAGAGTGAGAGTCGTAGCGAAAAAGTGAGAGTGAAAATGAGAATGTTGGCTGGGAGAGGGGATGCTCGAACGCGTGTGCTCGAACGAATACGAAAGCGAACGAGTTTGGGATTTCCACATCGTTCGGGTATTACCGGGGTACCTGTTCGCAGAATGCCCCGTTATTTTTCGTTTAGTCTTCTTTTTCGTCAGTCGCTGTTTCCCACTGATTCCAAATGCATCGTAAAATTAACTCATATTTATCGACTGGTATCTATATCTATATTAGTCGCCATTTTTATCAAGTCTGTTTCATTCTTATTCTTTTCACGATTATTTTCTTAATTTTTCTTAAGTTGTTAACTGTGTTATCTCAATAGTCTTATTAGTCACAGAATTGGAAGTTAATGAAAATGAATTAGTTCCAACTGAGTTAGTTTTAATTCTTGAAATTATTTAAAAAATATATATATATATATAATTATATAAAAAAATATATATATATAATTTCATTTTAATACACACAT